TATTCCAACAGCGCATGGCCAACCAAAGCACGTTCGTGGCTATTCTTATACGCCGACTCACGCACTTCTGTTCCAGAAAAGACCTACCGAACCGCGGTTCATTGTTCAAATGGTATGTTTGTGCATTTATAACTTTGTAGTGCGCAATACCTTTGTGCATTATTATTTGTTTGCAGAAGACAATCAGCTTTTTTCTAATTTTAGTTTCCATCTATAATTTGATCAGATATAACCGTAATAACAGATTAATACAGTTTAAACGATTCACGCATTTATCGGCTGTCGAGCAGTATAGATATCAAACTGGGGTACTTGAATTGGGTGCCAGACCTGGATGATTCTGCCCTGGTTGTGCCCCTGAGAAAGGCACTTTACCACATCCGCCGCAGGGAATCTGTGTAGACGGGAAGACATTTTGTTGATTTTTCTAAAACAGTTTGAACGCACAAGGATGCAGACGTTAAGTCGGTAATCAGTTTCTCGCTGTAAGCAATTTAGCTTTGTAAGCCATATTTTGTAAGTAAGATATAGCGTTAGTCTACGGTTGTAAAATTCAGGTATCAATCGTCAAGTTAGTTTCTTTTGTTTGTGTTTTATTGCTTTTTTGCTTGAAGAAGGCAAGTAAACTCACCAATTGTACACAGAGTACTAAACCCCTTTCTAATCAAGGCATAGATCATTTTCTGAACGAACAAGGATGCAGAGGTACATTCGGTAATCAGCCTTAATATTTCTGTGTTAGCAAGATGAGCTCTGTAAGCCATTTTTGTTAGCAAGATATAGCATTAGTCAGCGGTTGTAAAATTCAGATATCAATTATCAAGTCAGTTTCTTTTGTTTGCGTTTTACTTTTTTTCTGCAAGAAGGCTAGCAAATTTGCCAGTTGTACACAGAGTACTAAACCCTTTACAGTACCGCTATGAAAATCTTAATGTTTCAACGCTTTTTAGCAAATACGGCCGTTCCACAATAATGCGCCACCAAGAGTTTGCGCACGTTGCACGTTTGCAACGCGTTGGCCAATCACAATGCACGGAATTTGTCGACCCATCGCGCGTTTGGAAAGGTCGACAAATATCGCACGTTCTGATTGGTCAATGCGTTGCAAGCTCTTGGGGGCGCACTATTGTGAATCGCTCGTATTAAAGTACAAAAGATGGAGTTAACAAGAATGTCAGCATAAAATGTATTAAAAGGGTGAAAGCAAAGATTGGTGAGTGTTAGCTGAATGGATATTGCAGCAACTTGCGACGGTGAGCCTACCACCTAGTCCCAGCAGCGTGAAACCAATATGGAAAACTCTCTTTTTGCAAGTGACAAACCAAACAAGATGAGATATTCTGTAGAATAGGGATTGTTTGAGATCTTCCAAGCTTCACGTGAAATCGTCACACAGTTCGTTTCACTCACTGTGAGCCCACAGTTAGTCTAGGAGAGGGCGCAATGTTCATAGCAACGGGAGCTCCTTTGGTGAGAACCACTGTATAGTGTTGCGGTCCTCGTCACTACCAACAAAATGAACACTCCCCACCGATGAGGGGGTGCTTCTGCTCGAGGCGGATACACTGTATACAACTGAGTGAAACCTCAAAATGGAAGTCCAACGCTACACATGTCAGCAGATTTTTGTAAAATAAATTGTGCTTAAGTAAACGAATTCATATCGCTCACACAAACGCATCTCAAGTTACCGAGCCTCTCTCCAAACCGCTTCTAATTCTCCGCTCATTTCCTATTGATATAGGCCAGTGTCACGGAAATGTTCAGTCTATGGTGGTTTATAACAAGAATGCAAAATCGGATCGCGTTTCATACCGGTGGTGAAAATTATACTTGCCAAGGTTAATTATGCAATGGTGTAGGGACAAGGGAAAAGAGTCGAGGAAGATTGTGGAGAGTACTGACCTCCTCCACAGGTTTACACGACTTAAAAATTAACTTACAACTTGAAACTACACGCCCATGGCAAAACTAATCCGTTAAAGTCCCAACGATTGTGCCACCAAATTTAACACCTTGTAGCATTCGAAGAGCACCAGGAGTAAAATACCGACTGCGCCCGTAAAATCGCGCCTGCTTGGTACCAGACATCAGTAAACATTGCGTCCTCGCATAGCAAAGTGTGTTATAAGTGTCATTTACCACAGATTAAGCCGACTGTCGGTAAAGTAACAGACCTCTGGTGTTTTTGAGCAATTTGCCCAAAACAGGCTTTATTTTTCACTAAACACTTCTTCTGACACATTGCTAAAGGACGCCATGTTTGGTGATGTTTGACACTTTAAATCACGGCACTTAGCTGGCACATTTTGGTCTATATATTGAGTCCATTCCAGAAATCCAGCTCAACATTCAGGCCGCAAAGTTGAAAAAGTCTTTCCTCCTGCAGGTAATGCAAAAAGGTATGAATACATGTACTTTCACCAGACACACAACGTCTCGAATCAAGACCAGGCCACCAAAGCAAACGTAATGCTTTTGTGACATGAGGGTTACGTAATAGGTTTTCTTTTGTCGTTAAATCCTCTGTCGAGTGTCAACGAGAAGAGTGCCATTATCGGCCAGTGTCATAAGGTTTGGAGGTTTCCCATGGATGACCGCTCCTCAAGTAACGACGGTAAGTACTAAAGTTGGTTTCATTACCAGTAATGTGTCAGAAGAGATAAAAGCATAAAGCTTAAACTTGTTTTTATTGGGGATGATATAAAATGGAAAACAAGTAATTCTAGAACATTATGTTCATGATGCATCTTCCACGAGCCCTTGAGACAATCGTGTTTGACTATAAGCTTACATACACTGCGTATCGAAGCTCTAGTTAAAACCTTTTCAAATCAGCAAGGACATCGTTTGCCATATTTTGGAATGACAGAGTTTGATAACAGGCATATACAAATATACACATCGCGTGATACGGCACTCTTTAAGTCAGTGTTACATCAGAATTTGCCTGCATGGGTCAATATCCGCCATTGCCGCTGAACTTCATAAAGAATTCTTCTAGGTTTTCGTCGTGATTGAGCTCAAATCAATTAAGTCGGTATCCCTCTTCTCTTCAACCTACCGGGTTTTGCAGTGGGTCATTTTGGTAGCCCTGCGAAAAAATTGCTGAGGTGTACTTACGAATCCTTTCATTAAGCGATATGTAACCTGAGCTTGAAGCATTAACCTGTGCACTAGCTGAGACAGACAACGAGTCTAGAAAGTATCCAGCCTCACGTTTGCTGACAGTCATGGTTTGTTCTGAAAAGCAATGACGTCAGAGGTATCGATTCGTGCCGAGAAGCGTTATTCTCAACTGGATGCCTTTTGCGGGGTATCATGCAAAACCTTATCTACGATTACATGCATAATAAATAGGATAAAGGCCAATGGACCAGCTATAGTCAACTGAACAAATGGTTGTACAGTAAGCAAGTAGCACATGTATCTTTGAATCAGCCAGTGCGATGGTGCTTTTTATAACTAGAATATGCAAACAGTATGGCCGAACCACTTGAATGCAGACTATTTGGCTTAATACATGTAGTAGTGGGAGTGTGTTCATGGCTGGAGATGTGTTATCAGTTTTATATCCAGTGTGTAGGCCTAAGAGTGGTTTTGCTGGTTTGGATTTTTTCTGGGTCCTCCACGTGAGACAGTATATTACCATCCATATAATATATAAACAGGTTTAGGATAATGGAAGCACCACTTGGGATTCTACTGCTGTGCGTGATGCCAGCCGCCTTGGGCTACACAAGCGGCCCGCCAGTTTCATCCAATGATAACCTGTGCACCGACATGGTCCCAGACGGCCACAACGGTGGAGTCAGCCTGGCCACCGATCAAGCCTCCCCACCTTACGCCATCACCACGTCCACCAGGGAGTACTATGCCGGCGCATTCGTTCGAGGTTTCAATGCCTTTCTGTCAGTTCAAGTCAGAATACAGAATGAGCCAGTTGTGTATTGCAACAGCGCATGCCCTAAATGAAGTGCGTCCGAGGTCATTCGGACGCGCGTGCGAGGTTTCAGTACCCTATCAGCGTGGACCAAAGTGGACTCGCGCGCTTGCTCTGTTCCCGAATGACCTCGCTGTCTTGAAATACCGAACTGGCTCATTTTAGGACTCCATATTTTGAGGATAGAGGTCTTACATTAAAGAGGAATGAGCTTCCTCTGTAGTTTGTCGTTCGTAATTGTGGAATGTCATGGATTTACATGACATCCCCAGTACGTGTTAAGTGCTGCGGTTGACTTGTCCTACATTTGTCATTACTTCCAGTGACAATCACCGGGTCTGACAGCAATCGGTTCACAGGATTTTTCATCCAGGCTCGGCGCGCAGATACATCCCAGGACAACGACGTTGCCGTGGGAACGTTCTCTGGGATACCCGCCAACACCCAGCTGCTGATGTGCCACGGTGTTGCTAACGTAAGCATCTCAGTTTGAGGACGGAGGAGGGTTGAGGTTGGCATTGCTGTGCAAGTGCAGGGATAACATGCAACTCTAGGCGCGGTTGGCCGCTGAACATCATGAAGTCCCCACTGATTGTTGCGATCTACGTAGACCAATATACTCTGAAGCACTACACGAACTTACTTGAGCTTGAGGAAACTTGCCCTGTGAACTCTGGGACTAACGTACACTGATTGCATCTGTCGAAAAATCTCAAATATATTTTTCATTTGTTCCATCATTTGTTGCACTTTGTACACGTTTAATTAGGGTCCTGGAACGGCAGTGGGTGGTGTTACGGCCTTCTCAGTTTTGTCGACAATTAAACTGTCCCTTGAGTGCGTCGCGGCTACCGATCTCAGTAGGCCATCTAAACGAGCTATGACGAACAGCGCCACCAGTTGTCCATTTTTCTTTAACTATAAACAGCGACCCCTTTTCACCCGTCAAAATGCACGAGGAAAACCTGAATGAGAAACCGAGGTCACGATTTATACTTCTTTTCCATTGCCTTCAGTCCGCCTGGGGGCACTCCAACAAGGACGAGCGGTCCTCTGTTACAGCAACCTGGAACGCTCCGAACCAGGACGAAGGCCCTGTGGAATTCCTGTAAGTGGCAACCAGTGGAAGCTGTTTTGCAAGACTATACTGTTTTGTAAGGCTATGGTGCACCCGCACCCTCTCATCTATGGAAAAAGAGAGCCTGAATGCAAGAGACCATATTTTTGTCACGTCACAGGCACTACTCAGCAAGGGGGTATTTTGCCCACCATTGTTGGCAAAACTATGACTTGCTGTAAGTACAAAACCAAACGAATGATCGGCAGATGTTAAAACATAACTTCCAACTGAAAACGCCTCCCACTCAATTTAATGCAAATTTGCAAAGTACGCCTTTTTGAGGCAAAAGCTGGTGTCAACCAAGACTAAATTTTCTGCAAACTGTGCCCTCCGAACAAAATGGCGGTCGGTGTTTGTAAACAAAGGAAAGGTCTATCCGCCTTGCAGAGGCACCCCCTCATCAGTTGAAAAGAGCCATGTTGGTCGGGAGTGTTCATTTTGCTGAAAGCGTCGCTAGCGTAACGTGAGCATTTCATTGTCGTTCGTGAACCAGCGAAGTGCAGTTCCGAACAAAGGAGCTTCTGTTGCTAGGAAAAATTGTGCCTTCTCTTGGACCGGCTTGGGGCTCATTTATTGCTGTGTGTTGTTTCACGCTTAAAAGATCTATCGATTTTTTATGCCCCAAGGAACATTGTTGTCTTACTGCACTCTCTTTTTGTTTGTATCAATGGTCCTAGTAATTAACCCGTGACCTTACCAGGAAAATTTGATTTCATGTTCAGTGTACTGTGTGATATGGGCCATTTTCGTTTATGTTTATTTATCGCCGTAGAGGACGTGCCTTTTAATTAAATGAACGAGCACACTATCCATACATTATTCTCCAAGCACAGCGTTGGCAGGTTTGTCTTTGTTTTAATCTGTAACTTCTTTTGTGACTTTTGTGTTATTTTTAGGGCAACTATTGTGAAAGGGGAGCCAAACAGAAATTACTTTTACCTCGATGTCAAATCTCCCCAGGTGAACTTCACCAATGAAGCCCCTCGTAAGTAATCATCGGTAACTAGTTGATAATTTAAATAATGAGTCTGTTGGGCGAAGCTGGTGACTTGTGCATGGTTAATAATCTTTGGACGAATATCCAGCCCTTGACAGCAGACTCTGAACGCAAAAAATGTGGCCTGTGAAGTAGCGACGACAGCTGGAGAAACACTCGGATGCGGTCCAAGTCGATCATTTCAGCGACGAGGACGGTAATTGCGACAAAGAGGGTGAAAAGGCTCTTTGCCCTCTTTATTGTGATAGATTGTGCTAACGCTGATGTTGGTATATCCTGCACGTATATCCAGCAAGAAATGAGACCGAGGGGTACCCCCCCACGTGTTCAATCGCTATACGCACTCTAGACTATTGTTACCTAGCAACCCCCTCCCCGATGTCTGCAAAGATTTCCTCGAATTCCACTGACAGAATGACCAACACAAGGCAGGGGGGTTCTCTCCATCTCATATCTTGCTTCATGTGTATGTATATACAGGCTATTGTGCCTACTGCACCCCCGGAAATCTGAAAAGGAATTCGTAAGATTCCGACATATCGCGTATCAAATGGATATTGATTGGCCATGATGCTACAGGTGCAATTGATGAAAAGATTTTGTTGGCAGGTGCGTCACGCCTCGGAAATGAATTTCCGGAAATAGATTCCTTTAAGAGAGTTCCCTTTGTAATGTTGTCCGAGCAAAGATGTTTCCACCTACCAAGTTACGGTAGAGTGGATAATGTAAAGCATTGTATTCAGTGAAGTGTTTGACGTTAGCGTCCTGCTGGTCTCTGCGTGCATTGTTAGGATGATGTTCAATTGGCAAAGAAGAACGTATTGTAGTTTTCCCAAATTGTGAAACATGAATCAGTGTTTCTTGAAGGGTTTTAACAATGCTGCAGAAGAGAACTTACTAAATGCCCACGCCACACAAAAATGTCGGTCTGCGTGGACCACCGTTTGGGTCCCATGTCAAAAGGGATTACGGGAAAAACGCCGTATTTAGATTTTATTCGACACGCAAAATGCGACCGCACAGATAATATAATGCCTTTTCATTTATACTATTCTATGGTTGACTTGGCCAAAGGTATGTTTTCTCAATGCAAGATATGTTTTCATTCCCTTCTGTTTACGCAGCTGTCAGCGATGGAACAACAAGCTCTCCGTCTGCAGGTAAGAATTGGAACGTGCCTTAAAAATATTCTCCAGCCAAACCGAATTATCCCAAGCACTTCGCAATAGGAAACAATAACTGTTGCATTTGATAAACATTGTAAAGCTTTACACTTACCTGACTTGGAACTGTGTTTTTTCCTGGCCTACCACCTGCTCTTTGTTTATAATGTGTGCTAATATTATTAATTTCCCCCTTTATCACCAGGCTCTGCCAATACTTCGTCCTGCGCTTTTGTGGTGCTGGCGGTGACACTACCAGTATTGTTCGCGATGCATTTCAACTGAACAGCGACAAACCAACGATTGTGTAATTTTTTGAATTTTTTAAAAAGTTATTCTCGTAGATTATAAGAGTTACTTGTAGACTTTATCGTATTCAGAGTCTTCACGTCATTAAATGTCAGGCATTGTTCAACTTCTTACAAAGATTAACGAAAAGTTTATGCTATTGGGTGGGGGACGTGTGATTGTAATGACCTGAAGATTTGCATAGATTACATTCAAGTTGCAGTGATAACGATGCTGTTGACGACAAGATTAGCAGACGTATACGTGTACATGTAATGTACGTATTACTCATGTAAAAGCAGTTCTTTTATCGTCGCAATCAGGCTGGGAAATTCCCCGATGAGAAATTGTTTCAATTTGTATAAATAATAAACTCACCCGTACGATGGCCTTGAGATGACCCGCAAAATCTTGGAATTTTTTCGCACAACGTGGCATAAACCTGAGTAGCTCGCAGTGCTGTGCAAGGATTTCTGATGTGACGTCATAGAATATTGACTCAAAGAAGTGCGAGGTAAAATCCATGTTAAATTAAGAAAAAGGTGTAAAATTGTGAAAAACTGAATAAAACTGCGATGACGATTAAATCAAAACCAAATCAAACGACTCTGTAGGTCCCCTCACGGTCTCCATACTGCAGCTCGCGAGGGGCAGCTAACACAATACCGTTTGTATAGCAGCAAACATGGCACGCAGTGTACGTCGATTGCTCATTCTTATTTAGACTTGCCTGCTGGAAAGATCTGAATAACTGGACCATTGTCTTGCACCATAAGGAATAAAACCGACAGTTAACAGAGACGGTTAAAGGTAAGATCAGTTTTGCGGATATTGTGCATATTGTTAGCCCAGTATACATGAACAGGCATCGCCAGGTTTTAGGGGATGGGGTTTTCAAAACACTCGTTGGCAGCAAACATACAACCAACGGTGTGATGGGTCATTTCTAAGGTATTGTATTTTCAAACAAATGGTTGAATTTCATACACTTTCAAGTTGCAACTTCTTGTTTGTTTGTGTTCTTTTTTACTTTTTTCCGGATGAGGCAGATTTCCTCCCTCTGGGACGCCCGTTGGCTAATGACACTATAATTTCAGTACATAGAGTAATCGCAGATCAATGCAAAGTTGATATTTACACACAAAGGCAGTCTCCTAGAAATTAAAAGGAAAATTATTTCCAGCTGTCATGACTGCTTTAAACATGTTCTAAAATTGCTGGACTATTTTGTGTGCTCACTTACTGGTCAATGATTTGGCCAACCGACTGTAAAATTGTGGGGGATGTAAAATTGCATGTTCAGTGATCCTCATGCCACGTTTTTCTCTCTGCTTGCATTTTTTTGCCAAAATAAAGATGACTTCGAAAGAGCAGCAGCAGAGGTTAGGCTTTGAGAAAGAGGGCGTGGTCAAGGATTCTCACGGATCAGCCGCAATGTCTCACGAGGGGAACGTGGAGTCGGGCAGCCCTGTGTCCAGGATGCAGGCTCAACAGCCGGTCTCGCCTGGCGACTTGGGATTCGGGAAAGAAGGTGTGGAGAAAGACACCCCGGCTTCCGCAATGATGTCGCACGAGGGCGACGTGAGCGCCAGCTCTCCCGTGGCAGAGCTGCAGAGCAAGGGTGCGACCGGCAAGTAAGCTACGGCAGGCACTCCAGGTCGATATACCGTCTACCGACAACATCTTTCGTGATATGCTCATGATGATTCCCTGAATTGTCTTTTTTAATGGCAATTTCACCGCTTTTGCCCTTGGCATTTCATTTGCGCTTAGAGTCACTTTTTCCTCTTTTTTCGATGGTAGAGGAGAAACGAGGCTAATTTCATCACACGGTGTGCTTTGAAATGCACCTGCATTACTTGAATTCTAGTCATTCAGAAAATATAGAATTTGTTTGAGAGTGTATTTTTGGAGAAAACTACCAATTACCAGTGTCCTTGAAGACAAAACTTCAACTACAAAATCCATGGTGATGAACACTCTGCAAATCTTGTCTTGGGATGAAATTTCACAAATAAAAGAAAACACCATCTGTTCTCCGAATACAAAAACCAAGTAGACTTGAATATAAATATGACTGAAAATGGTAACACTGTTTCGTTCATCTTTAGTGCATTTCTTGGTTTCCTCCACAGTTTTCCAGGGATTTTAAAAATTGCTCGGCTGTGGAAATTCAAAAAACGAAGGGGGCATTGCTGGACACCGCTTGCAAGGGGCGATGTTCACGATACAGGTGTACATTTTTGCATGCCTACGATAAGACTCCTTAACCTTGCATCAAACGGTATACATCTATCTAAAACGTTTGTACTTTTTCTCCCTTTTCAGTACTAATGAACTTATATTATGGTATCCAGAAATTCGAAATATTACTTCTAAATCTGTTTCTTTCTCCCGCCATAAAAGCGAGGGATGATAACCCAACCCCTTTGTCAAAAAGTGCACGGAATACATATCTCCCCATTCGTCTTGGATATACGCCTGTCGCACGTCCTCTATCCACACCGTCACTAGATGTATAACTTTACAATATATAACTGTCAACGATACCTTAAAAACAAGTCTTGAACCACACACCACCTTGCATTCTGAACTAAACATTACGCTAAACCTACATGCAAGCTACTGTTGAACTTTGTTCACCTTCAAAATTAACGAGCATAATAATGGTTTATTTGAAAATAGTTTTACATCAATTTCAAGTCTGGAATATTTAAACGTGAAAGTATACTATAGCTACTGAGAATATCACGAATGTTGTGGAACCTGGGATATTTTTTCAATGTGAATTACTGGTGGCTATACGTTTAGTTGGAATAATATCTAGGCAGGGAGCCAGTCTAGTTATTTTGCCAGCCTATCCAGATTTGATATGCGCTTGCGCAACTTGAAATTTCCTCTATCGGGGAAATCCCCATGTGAGCAATATATTCTCACATTCTAGCTTTGAACTCGAGTCGTGTTTCCATTTTAATTTCATATTTTAAAAGCCCCAACGATGACAACGCTTCAGGTTTGTTGGTGTTGAAATCAGCGACCTCTTTTGTCACTCCATAAGTAATTGAACGCGGTAAGTTATTTGTAAATTGCTGAGTTTTTGAACTTTTCAATTTAACGTATGCCGCCCCAGGTCACGGCCGTTCAAACAGTCGTGTTTGCTGCCGAGGAGAGTGCATTGTTTCCAATTCAAGATTTATCACTGAAGACAAAAGAGTCGACCAACGACGACAGACAATTGCGTTAAAGTAAAACAGAGTGCGCACTTTCAGAGAAAATAAATGCGGGGAGTCTGTCCTTCAGTTGGACATTGTGAGAACTGTTTTGATATCAGGGAACTTAGTCACGGCTGGCATGTAGCTCTGCAATGTTTTGTTTGCCCGTAACAAAGTAGAATTTTACGTCCACCGTCTCCTTTTGCTTCTCAAACGTCCCTGTTTTGTTTCTGTTATGACCCCGATTTCCTTTAAAATCTGCAAAATACAAAGCATGTGATCTTTCTTGGCTGGGCAGCAGTTCGTAACAGGTTTAGCCCAGTGATCATGTAAACAAAAATTGAAAGTGCACCGTCTGCCGGTGAAAACGGACATAAATATACATTTACCATTTTCAGCTAAATACAAAAGGGATCTTCAGTCCTGTCGGTATGCCGAAAGGCGGGGCGCGGTCTGGCGGCTCAAGCCGGAGTTCGAGGAGTGTTAATCCCAGCTCACTCGGGTTCAAGTCAGGTGGAGTCGTGAAAGGATCGGCCGCTGCCAAAATGATGTCCTCGCAAGGTTCAGTGAAGGCTGGATCTGATATTGCACAGTTACAGAGTCATGGGGCGAAAGGTAGGATGTACTTTGCCTCTTTGTTCGGATCAGCCATTACGACTGAGGACTTGCAGTGGTGATAAATTATAAAGGAACAATAGCGCAAGGCCTCAATTGGAGTAGTCCTTTTGAGACAAATTTTGACAAGTCAGCCTGGAAAAAAAATTGAGTGTACATGTGTACTCATATAACTTATGAACTCTTTAACAGTGATGACGTCGGGGTCCACGGTTGGATTAAGGTCCATATGTACTAGTCTTGCGAGAGCTCATCGCAAAACGTATATAGGGACAATGGGAGGTCCTCTAGCTGTTGAAGATGCTTAGGTACATAGGTAGGGGTAAGGGATGTAGCTCAGGTCTGCTGGCAAAAATGAAATAATCTTCAAAATGGAACTTACAAAGCTACATTCTTGTAAGAATTATCTGAGAATTGGCAAAAATTCCCTGTAAAAAGTTCACACCTGTCCCATTCCACTGATGAATAAGCATTGTGCTGGTAAAGTAATACATTTAAATAGCAAACAAGGTCCAAGCCACTTCCGGGGGCTCCATCCTATTGGAACGCCTCTCTAATTAGACACTGGCTGAAGTTTTGTGAATATGCCATTTTTTTCAGTGAGTTTTTCCTGACACACGTTTCGTTAGATCAGGCTGACAACCCTTCAACCAGGAACAGCACAAGACCTTATCAACGGCCCTCTTTTTTTGGCCCCCACCCACAACAGGCACACCTTACGGTCTTGCCAGCAAACCCAGTTCTCGGTCCGGCGGTTCGAGCGGGGCTGCGAAGAGCATCTCGCCCGCTGCCCTGGGTTTCAAGCCCGGCGGGGTGGAGAAGGGTACTGTTGCCGCCCAGATGATGTCGACGCTAGGATCGGTGAAGTCTGGCACCATAGTTGCCCAGATGCAGAGCAGTGGGGCCAAGGGCACAAGTGAGGGAGTGTCCTGTACAACTCACCGGAGCAGCAGCGGTCAGGCCCAGTACGTAAAGTGCACCGTCAAGAAGTAGCTGATCGAACTCGCTTCTCAAACAATAGGCTCAATTGCCTGTGCTAACTATTTACCCAAGGATGAAAGTTGAAACTACGGTTAGTAGGGCTAGGGCTATGCCAACTCTTTTTTCCTCCGTTGGAATGATTTGTCGTTCATTTCCAAAATGAACGACAAATCATTCCAACAGAGGAAAAAAGAGTCAGTGAAAATACACTTGCTATAATATTAACTCATTCGGGGGAGTGACCCAAAAATGTATTTAAAGCATTCAATAAGATGACGTATCCATTGCTACTCATTTGCATATCTTCACCTTGGATGCCAATGCAATTTTCAATATGAGTAAGCACAGTGCCTTGATTGGAAGTCTTCATGGCTTCAACACGACTGTGCACGCCCACTAAGTTATTGTTTTCTTTCGATCCGTGGATTTGCTTGAGAAATGATCTAACTGATAAATACATCACGGCTAATATGTACCAGTGTTGTAAGCGATAGAACGCGAGAACAACAGAAATTAATTATTCGTTTCTGTTCACTTGCCACTTCAAGTTGAGACAATAAGCAGCGAAACACCGAAAAACGTCTCTGCACTTGATGGTGACTTAGCCCCACTGAGGCATGTTTTCACACAGCCTGTCGACTTATTGGATACTTAACACTTTGTTTCCCGCCAACAGTGACAACATGGGGCTGGAATAGCATGAATCGAAGATACCAAATAACTTGTGTTAAGATTCAACACATTGTAACTAGGATATATGTAATGTTATTATGGTTATCATTATACGCTTACCCTCGCTTGTTATTAATTAATATACTACCATCAGACCTAGCTTACGATCAATGCTTGCATAGTTTCCTCCACAAAGCGATGCCAAGAACCATATACGACGCAACTTTAGAATCAACAGTATTAGCAGCTTCAATGATCAGGTTGAGTCGAATTGCAGATTTATGAATAAATTCTCTCCACGTGCAATGACGTTCTTTCTGTGTGCAAGTAAGATTGCTAACAGTTTCTGTTAGCCCCGTTTTTTTGGTGAACAGATTAATTGCCCTCAATATAACCATGCCCTCAATGATATCTCATGGAGACATTCTACTGACTGCTTTTCGTGATTAATAACATACAACCGCAGCTACTCTTAATAAGGTTTTGTTTTGCCAAAATCCATGCTGTTTAAAGTGTATTATGCTTACTTAAAGGTTATGTGATCTTAACGTATATACACCGTGAATGCATGCCGCTTATGTTCAAATGCATACGCTGTTTTGGGATCTGATCTTGAACTGTTTGAATCGACGGGCTTATCAATAAAATGTTAATGATCTAAGACGTTGTACTGTTATTTTCTGAACAATGCCACTCATTGTGGCCTCTTTATCAAGGGTAAGAACGTTGTTCTCAACACGTTATCGACAAGAGCCTTTGGTATTAGCCTGGAACCAAAATCGCGGAATATGCTGATAAGTTACTCTCGTGATCCAAGTGTTGACTTTTTCCTGAGAAAGCCTCGTAAATAGATAGCTGTGGGTACAGGTGGATTGCGTGGAGAGTTGGGGATCATTATTTTGTATAATTCTGGGATATCTCGTTTAAATTAAAGTGCAATTTTCAGCCATTGTGTGCACGTAGATTTCATGCTGATCAGCTCATTGAAGTTTAAGCGCTGCACATCCGTCGCGTGGATAAACAATTGGTCGCGCACCCAAACAACAGAAAAACAAGGTCTGGTAAATGAAACATGAATTCCGGTGGTTTTAAGTTCGCACGTTTTTCTTCACGAGGTTGTGCGAATGGATTACCTTTGAAAATTCAATCAGTGAAAAACAGGATGCCAGCCTTAACCTGCAAAGGAAGTCAGTGACTAAGAGCGTTCCTTCGCCCCGCACAGTTTTTGTAACATTTCAACAGCAGGGGTTTCCCCGATGAGAAATTCACCAATTCACCAATTTCTTCGTTTCCCCTGAAACGAAGAGAAAGTTGTCCAGACTGCTTGTCAGGCAAATTCATTTTGAATTTGGAGAATCGCTCACCTGGGGATCCCAGTTCGCCACTACTCAAAGAAATCACCGAGCCTATTCAACAGGCAGGTCTTCAACTTGAATGGCACATATTTACAGACACTGCGTGGTTTATTATTGTCATGTACATGGCAATTCGACACCCAAATTGCCACACTAAAACTCAGTTTAAAATGAGAAGTCCAATGTCTGACTTCGTCTGAAGCACCATTCGGCGCTTTTATTACAGCCCCGTTCACGTAATGTCGAGTAAAAGTGTGTCTACACTACAGATTCAACCTGTTTCTTCTACCATAAATGAACCTGTCGTTACACACTTTTAACAAGACCACGAGGTCTACCTAAGTGAGATCTCAAAATGAATGCCACTTTGCCATTTTGTTTCCATCTGGTCAGTTCTTTGTGCTCTGGACAGAAATGAACGGATCGTTTTAAACCCGTTTTTTTTTTAGGCATGTATCGTTTTCGACAGTTGATGAATTACACCCCCACTAAGTCTTGTAGGCCTGCTCTGTACGCCAAAGAGCCACAGGTATGCCGTTCTAAAGGTTAATTAATTGTCTAAGAGCGACATTTGCCAGTTAACAGCATTCTGACGTTTATCCAAGGGAACAGAGATCACGCAATGAACATCCAACTAAATGATCTATACTGGGGCTTGCAAAATATTTGGATTAAAGGAAGAGCAACATGCTGATTGGATTTCGGAATGTTGCCAAGAAGCTTGTAGTTTTGTACTGTGTTTACAGTCATTTAGCTTTCCGTTTTTTGGTGAGTGATTTAAATTCATCGGAATTTTTCTCCTGACCAGCAAATTTATTAGGCTATACGCAGTGCTACTGTCTTGTCAAAATTTAATAATTGATAAGAGAATGGCCATAGCACGGCAATAGTGGGGCATATGCGCTAATAGCCGAGCTCAAAAGTGTCGCAGTGTCGTTTACTGTCGTGCAAGTGCCATTCAGAGCACCGATAGCGCGGCATACCCTGGTCGAGCTGCAGAGGTTACCGTGCCGGATGCAATTTGGCGAGCGCAAAGCCCCGTGCTATTGCCGTGCCGAACTTAGCCTTCCTCTGAACAAAAAACTTAAAATGGTCTTTGCCGCAGACGCTGATGCCACCAGCCCAATCCAAGTCACCCAGGGGAATCGCCTCGTCGGCCAGTCTGGCCAAGGGGTCTCGCTCCGCCGGGCCTGGTAAGGGGAGCGCGCAACGGTCGGGCTCGGCGCCGGCCTCAAAGAGCGTCAGCCCGGGGAGCTTGGGCTTCAAGCCGTCCGGCGTGGCCAAGGGCTCGGCCGCCGCTACCATGATGTCCTCGCAGGGCAATGTGAAGTCCGGCTCGGTGTTGGCCGACTTGCAGAGCAGCGGAGCCGGGGGTAGAACACCCAGCAAGGGCTCCACCGCCGTCTGCAATACGCGACCGAGCAGAGGCGGCACTTCGCAGACCATAGAGTGTACAAAGCAGTGAGGGAGCGCAGTCTAGCATTATCGTGCATGAAAAATACAGGTTCTATGTTTAATTAATTGATTAATCTGGTGAAACAATAACTGCGCATGCCGCTTCTACGTTTAATTTGGATTTTAATGAATGACCCGATGGTTAGGAAAGTTTCGGTGGGGGCACGGGGGGGGCAACCTCTTCTGATCCGATACCAAAAATAAAGGAAGAAATCAGTTTTGAAAAATGAAATATAAGTTATATTGATAATAAAGATGGTATCCTTCGAAGGTTAATATTGGTACGTGGTGAGCGTTAAAGAGAACGTAACGCGTTACTTTTGTGTCCGTCTGTCTGCAACGATCGGATATAAGTAAGAAAATCTGAGGGGCCAAATCCTCCATCCCCCGCTCGGGAAAAATCTTGGATTCTTGCCCCTGACCTCTTCGCCCACAATCACTGTGCGATCCCAATATCACCACTGCAATTACTTCCAGTTTTTAGTAAGTAGATTTTCTTGACTAATTCCCACGTAATCTATCTTTAGAAATTAGTCCGCGCAACGCTTTTTTTATTTGGTATTAAGTCCAACAATATCCTAAGATCTTTGCAGTACACTCGACTCTGTCGGATACTACTAAATAAGCCCAGACTCGAACTTCAGCAGGCATAACACATTAAAAACACAGCTTTGAAACACTGAGTTTATTGTGTCAGACGCTGTCAGTGGTGTAACTCTTTTAGGATCTGGAGAGCATGTGTTTGTGTAGTGTATGTCCTACTGACGGTTGGGACATGTGTCCCCCCGCGGTTTATGTCCTGGGGGCAGATCGGACATGTGTCTCCCTCTGTGTATGTCTTGGGGGCACGTGGGACATATGTCCCCCACAGTGTGCGTCCTGGTCTACTAATGTGCTCCTTTTGGAAATCTTAAAAGTAAACAAATATGCAAGTCGTGTTTTTAAGTTTTTTGGCGCCTCTTTTGTTTATGCATAGTAATTGGATATTTATTTGTCTCTCTGGTGCATTTAACGAGCCGGGGAAGTCTGAAGTTTAACACAAGATTGGAAGTAAGTTACAAAAGGGAAAAATATCTCATAAGTCAATGTGGTATTGGAATATTTTATCATTATATTTGAATAACAAAGAGTTTTATGCGATAAGAACGAATCATACGAGACCCTGGTTTTTTATTTAAATCCCCTCACGTCCGATATTTTACACTCAGCAGTATATTGAAGACAACTGTATATCACATACTTCTCAACCCATCATCGACTCAGGAAAGCACATAATTATGGATTCACCAACGGTCCAAAGGCGTTTGATGCACATGAACAGATGAGTCATCACCGATGCCGAGTATTTCTCACGGCGGGCCTGTCCCTTCATGAGAAATAATTCAATAATAAATTAGAAAATCGTTCGCTTCCGTACCCGCACGCTTGTGCTAAACCTGAAAGGAGTCCTCCACGGTGTCGGCCAGTATCGTCTTCTCTCTGGCCCCTGGCATGTGATCAGTAGTTTTTAAGCCTGTCCGAATATCTTGAACTCATAATTGGAGAATAGTTAATCAACAACAGTGCACTTAATTAAATAGGTCTACTAAATTTCATTGGTAAATACGGGAAGCTAGCATTTGGTGTGGATCAAGGGGCCTGTTTGTTCCACACAGATCTGGATCTCGATAAGGGATCCCAACGCTGGTTCACACCATCCACTACGCGGGTCTTGGTGTCCGTAAACCAGCGACGTATCGCCGATCCAGAACCGTGTGAAACAAACACGGCCTAGGAGACAAGGATTTCATTTTTTGCTCAACAACCTCCACCATGTTAACGGGCCGAAAGAGTCTTTAATTTCCAATTGTGTGTTCCATTTTGTTTTTGCACTGGGTAATTCCATCCAAAGAGTTAGAGCATATTCTTGTGGTCCTGTCGTCATATCGACTTTGCACTTACGGACAATTCCGATGTAGACTCCTGCTCGATCGATCGCGGGCGTTCTTTTCGTTATCTGGGAAATTTAGAGGCTGATGAAACGTCCTATTACTCATACCCTGGGATTTTTCGTGTTGTTGAAATGCGTCGTTGCACAATCTTTCACCTGACTTTGAAATTTCCAGCTGCTCTGCAGATATTTATATGTATATATATGTATACAGTATATATATAACGGGCCACCCGTGCCATCTGCCTTTAATTCGAAAAGGTTTTAGCTCAGCGAAGAGCATCCGACATTCTTTTCAGAACGTTGCACACTGCCGTCTAGGTAACATCAACTCAGCCTTTTTAACTCACCACCCATCTCGGCAGTTCCGGTAAGAATAATTTCTCGACATGTTATTCCTCGTTACCATGCAAAGCGAACGACTGTCAATCGGTGGGCACGGGCGACTTGTTCAAGCGCTTAATTGACCTCATGACGGAGGCCCCAGGTTCAGTGGCTTTCGGCGATCGCAGTTTCCCTGGTTATGATGACACGTTTCCTTTTTGAAGGAACACAGCCATTAAGTCATTTAGTTGCACATTCATTATGTATTCCCTGTTGAGTCTACGGAACTTACCCAGAGTGATTTCAGGTGTAGTATAAATGAATGAGAATGCCGGGGACTTGCAAAAAGAGAGAACAGAGTCGCATCGCAATGAACGAACCAGTGGTGTATCGGATGGGAGGGGGCTTCCCCCCTGAATTGTTTTTCACTCTTGTCCGTTTGTACCAGAATACTTCATGTGTGAGTATAGGAAAAAAGGTAATCGGTATTACTTTTTATCAAACTCTAGCACCAAAAACCCCGAGAAAGCAACACCACGAAATAAAAGCAAAGATATGGGGACCGCGAGTAAGGCTTTTGATATTTTTTTTCTATCATGTGGAATAAGGTTAAAGCAGCATTCCATTTTTGAATTTGCCCCCCTCCCCGACGCCAAAGCTGGATTCGCAACCGGAACGAACAGTCAAAGATGAAGGACGTAATTGTTCAGTCTAAGAAGTGTAACGCATCTTTGTTTCCTCGCTTGTACCTGTCCGTAGTACTTGTAAAAGTTGCGTTGTCTGGCTGCTTTATTGAAGGTGGCTAAGATGTCGTCAAAGAACGTCGGCCTGGGAGGTTTGGGGTTCACATCATCTGGCGTGGCCAAGGGCTCGCCCGCAGCCTCCATGATGTCCTCACACGGCAACGTGAAGTCCGGCTCAGCAGTGGCCGCCATGCAGAGCTGTGGGGCCAAGGGCGGCCCGTCCTCGGTGTCTTGTACCACTCGCCCAGGCGGGGGAGGCGCCAGCCAGTCAATCAAGTGCTCCAAGAAGTAAGCCAGATGGGGTCAGGGCTGTCGAAGGAGCAGGCTTGCAGTAACAAGGGAAATTTGGAATGGCGAGCATGACCTGGAAAAACCCGGCCGCCAGGGGCTGTTGTGATGTATTCAAACCTGTTATTCAAAACTTTTACTTTTCTTGTGATGTTCAGCGCAAATTAGTAAAACAAAATCTTGGAATAGTTTATGGGTGTAGACAGCTTTAATTAATGCGCCCTGCTTGTGAACTATAAAAGTACTTAAACAGTTTACCTCTTCTTATTCTGATTAATTGTACAATAAGAAACCGTTTTGCCATTTTCAAAACAAAAAAAATAAATAAAGAAAATTACGGCCCCACTTCCTGTAGGATATATATATTTTATGATATAATTTGAAAAGGTCTGCAAAATTACACACCTATGATGGATTAAAAAAAAGTGATGATCAAATTGGACAGAAGCGAAACATTTTACCCATTAAGTAAGCAAATGATGTCACATTTTAAAATTTAGCTACCCTTGTAATTAAAAAGATTACGAGGTTAAAATTTTTCTTAAAGCAACAATGGTGATTGGTTGATCAGTTACACAGATTATTTTTGGTGGCATCATATAAATACGTCCTTCAGTATGATTATACACGATGGTGGCTTAAAGAGGACAAAATGAAGTTGATAAATCATTTTGGTGATATTAAAGGGCATTTGGGGGATCTTTCCTGATTAAATTCTGTTAAATTTGCAATATGTGGTTGCCAGTCGTCACAAAATAAATACGTTGTGAATACTTTACCACATGTTCATTTTACAACGTGCTACAATAGCATTGTTCTTCTCCACGTTACAAACCTTTCTGAGTAAAACAGTTGTTTGACCCCGGGACCAGGTGGGTGTTATTCAACATCAAGTTCAGAAGTTCACATGTTCCAATTTCACCTGTGATGTCCCCATTCCCAACTACGAGCACACTTGAAGATAATGTCATGCAGAAAACGATGGACATGTTGTTGCCATTGTTTATAAATTTTTTGCACGCAGTGAGTAGGGATTTCAGAGTCCTATTGTTGAGCGAAACTGGCAACAGTCGTTCCCCCGTGTCGTTGTGCAGTTTAATTGGTCCCGTTACAAAAAAAAAGTAACGGTGTCAGCTGTAAGTTGTAGCAAAGCGCGGCACAGTTGCAGTTCTCTCACGCACGGTCCATGGAGCTCAGAGCGCCCCCAAATAACGTCCTCTGGTGTCACTGACATGACACGGGCTGTTGTTAGCAACCGGGCCGAAATTTCGTACGCACTAAAAATGGTATTTGGAATTCCCCACACGGAAGTACCTACGCGCGTTGCGAAATCTTGAAGCGCCATCATAATAGTTGTTTACCTCTTCGTCGCTGGTTAGTGGTTATAAAAACCGGAAGCAGGGCCAGACTTCAACAAGGTGAATTCTCTCTTGGTTAAAAGAGACCACACAGAATTTGAACCCACCGATGTTTACGTTTTACACGTCAGAGAGTGAAGGAGTCAGGACAGATCATCATGGCTAGCCAAGGTAAGAATCAGTGTACATGTTCATGCGTCGTCATAATGGGATACATGTATTGTGCATGACATGATTGCTAGTGAGATGTGTAGAATTGTGTACGTGTGGCAGAGGTAGAAATTTGTAATTTTTTTGTCAGCGTCTTTTCAAAGGAGTATAATACCCTCTATAAAAAATAGAGTTTTTGTTTAGAGATCCCACGGATTTTTCTGTTAGTGTATATCCCCCAAGGAGCTATATGAGGTGACATCGGCAATAGCATTAGTCTATACCTGCGTCACAGAATGGCAACTGTGTCATTCCACCACCAGATAAATTCAAAGATTATGTTTGATAAACAGAGTTTCCCCTTTTCCATGTTTTTTAAGTGGAGTCTGCTGCTGAACGCTTTTATTTATAATTGTTGAAGTTATTTGTAGCATTGCTGGGGACAGCAATGATTTAAGATTGAGTGCGTGTGGCAAAACTAGAAATTTATTATGGTTTTTGTTGGCGTCTTTTCATAGGACCCTCTAAAATACAGTTTTTGTTTAGAATTCCCCGGGCTTTTCTGTTATATGTATCCCCCTTTTTTTTTAGTTTGGCCCTTGCTTCTGCCCGTATAACTTGACCCCATGCTCTGGCCACATTTAGCTTTGAAGAGCAGACCATCAGAGACACTGTCACTGTTCACTGTTCCTCTTAACTGGAGTGTGCGTTTCTGCTTGAGTCAGGTTTCTGTCTGCTTCTATGAGTCAGTGATTGAAAGCCAAACTCTCCTTATTAGGTCCATTTTACAAACTGTGTTGGGTTTTGGTTTTTCATTTTTGGGGGGTATTTTAGTCCTTTCAAAGTTTTTTTTAGTCCTTTTGGTTTTGGCATTTTTTCCAGTACTTTTTCATTAATAAATAATTTTTTGGTCTTTTTTTGGAAGTCAAATATTGGTGTCAGAGTCCTTATTAATTCGGTTTCCCGCGACTTTCCCCTCAAAGATCCCTTGGTTTGGTTAGAGTTTTTCTTGTTTTGCGAGTTCACCAGTGTGACATTTTCCCCGTTATATACGCTTGATTTTACACAGACCATTATTGGACATGTTCTCTGGGACCCAGCGTGTTGCAGACCAGTGAATAAATTTCCAGAGACGGCACGATTAACTTTAGCTCACTTCACTCAACAAAAATAAGATGCGTGTCTATTCGTGAAATTGAAAATCCACGTTTTCCTACTTTTGGCCCTTTTGTATTTTTCCATACGGAAGGGGCAGACGTAACCTGTCGCATTGTAACAAGGATGCATGCACTCTTCGTGAAAAAGAAAATCTTGCTTGACGTACTTTTTGGCCTTTCAAGTCAGTACGATTTGGACGTGTACGAGGAACATTAAGATTGGTGTCTTTTCTTAAAAACGCAAAATGCACCTATGGAGATTTTGGACCTAATTAAAAAACTTGAATGCAATCCAAATCGAAAAAATGCTGCTTTTGACATGTGGGGCTGTTCGTGAAAAAGGTGACGACTTGTCACCAAAAAATGGACAGTTGTAAATGTACAGATTCGATACAGTTTATCCCCAGAGATCCTAAGAAGTTTCGAAACATGCAAGGATGCACAAAATTTGTGACGGGGCGGATTCCCATTTTCACCAAATGAATAAAAAGGAAGAAAGAATTAAAAGAGGGAAGGAGAAGGAAAAGAGGAGGGGGGTTAGGATGCCCGAAAACACTACAGAGCGCCTAGAATCCCACAATGCCCCGGATCCCACGTTGTAAGGGGTCCGCACCACACACTCACGGGCATTTTACAATTGCTGCTTTCGTTCAACCCGCCTTTTGGAAAATCCAAGTTCACGCCCCCCCGGAAAATCCTGGACCTGCCTCTGTAGAGGAAATTACATGCGATTGCAGGGGCCTTAGTTCAAACATGTTGGGTTATAGCCTATAAAGAGTTCCAAATGTCAGAAATAGAGTCGATACACCTTTGCACGTGAAATGAATGACCTCACTTTAGCCGGTAGTTGACAGATTAGGAACAATGCAAATGGCTCATTTAAAATACATCTTAAGCTGTTAAGTAGGTGGTGTGCACGTAGTCCTATATAATGCACGTAGCTGTTATGAACATAATATGATGTATTTCTGTTACTGCATGGCGGCGTAAATGCAGGTGACATTTTTGAGAATTACCTGATGGAAAAATTTTCTGTTATCCAAATTACGGCAAAAATGCTGCTTTGTGTTTTTCCAAAAGATGCGAGTGCTATCAGCGACGAGTCCCTCTCGAAAATAGCATCTGGCCTGGGAGACACCTACTCTGAATTGGCTGAGCAGCTGGGTTTTGACCAGGATGAGTGGGAGAGCATTTACCTCGCGTATTCAGACCAGGGACCGAAGGAACAAGCCCAGTGCATGTTGACAGCGTGGAGGGACAGGTTTCGGCATGGAAGCGAGAGCATCGACGGCCTGGGGGAGAAAGACTACCTGATTCGGGCGCTCAGGAAGGTTGAGCGGTATGACCTCCTGGGTAACATCGGTAAGCAATTTGGTATTGGTATTAGGTTTTTTACATACAGCAAAATAATCCCCTAGCAAGGGAAATTGTTTCGTACCAAACATCTAACTGCCCATATAGTTGACAGCGAGATTCCACCACCAGAAGAGGCGACGTGGGAAAACTTTTCATTTCACCCTGGTAGCAAAACTTTATGGACTCGTCTTTCAAAAATATCTCCGTGGATGTAACTCTTAAAAGCTTATTCTTTTGATTTGACAAGGAGGTGAGATTCAGTGGAGAATTTAGTGGCTTTTATCCGAAATCGTTTTTCTTTATCGTTTAGTTTAACCCCGTTGCAGTAGTTCTTGGTTGATTCACTCGGGGCATTTGAGACCCCCCCAGCTGAGTGTTATTTTGATCCTGCAGAATTTACGACAGGGTTGATTGTAAAAGAACTCCTACTGTTTTCATCCAAGTTTGAAACACTATGAATGCATTAGCAGTAGTCCTTTTTCAAGATGTTAACCTCCGCCATTTCTAGATATGTTGATCTGTGTTTGCGGTCGAAAGAGTTTTCAATGAATTTGAATGTTACATTCAATAATTGCTAAACCGGTCTTCACCCTGTGAATAGGTGTGGAGGTTCTTGACAATACTTTGCTGGAAAATTTGGCAAGTGCCCTGGTCGATTCTTGGCCAATACTGGCTTCACATCTACAACTGGACATTAACCTGTACGTGATGCTCTCGGAGCAGTTTGATGAAGTCCGTGACCAGGCACGACGCATGCTGCAGCTGTGGAGGGAAGGCTATCCTGGACACGACATGATTTGCTGCCTGGCCAAGGCACTGAAGAAGATGGGACGGTATGACCTGTTGGAAAGAATAGGTTAGCAAATGCATTCATCTTGCTTTTGCTAGCATGACAACTTTCTGAAAATGCTATTTTGCGGATTTCATCTTTAGAGGAAGTCAACTAAAGGTTGTAATACCGATGTGAAATGCAACTCGTATAGGGACGCCATCTTTTGCAATTTAATGGGTACAATGAGCCCGTTCGGTTAGGGAAAAGGCCATTTGAGGTCAAGCACGTGCTCAAGTCGCAGTATAGCTGCTCTGATAGGGCAGACGCGTACGCAGGCGCAGACTGCTGTTCTCGAAGGCCCTTTGGATGCACTTCATTTTGGGCATGCGCTGTTGGAATACCGAACCAGCTCAGTCAAGGAGAACGAGCGGGTACAGTCAGACTGTTTAAAAAAGTTTGAAGCATCGGTTGTGAAATGTAAATTCTGATGACCCATTTTGTCAACACCAGTTTGTGGTAAAATCTTGAAAAAAAGCAAGCTGGCGTCAAGTTCTAAGACTGTAAACTTCACTTCTGTATCTAGGGATGGAAGTTTTTGACGACGATTCTCTGAAGCAGTTGGCAGATGCCCTTGGACACGCTTGGCCTAATGTTGCAGACCACATGGGTTTTGATGATGCAGACTGTCAGTCCATCATTGTTGTGTGTCCCAACGAGGTTGATGAGCAGGCCTTGCAGATGCTGACGTCACTGAGGGAGAGATACGGAGGCCTCGTCAAAGTGGATGATCTAAAGAGGGCTCTGAGGAAAATTGGACGGTACGACCTGCTAAAGTTGCTAGGTAAGAACCGCGAGATTTTTGGGAATGATTCTTCTTTAGAGAATCTTAGAGGAGAGGGATGGTGCCCATTTAAGGCAAATTGGAACGGAACATTGGGGGGGGGTGTTGGTGGCATTGAAGTTAATTGTGCTTGTAACATGCCATAACGTTGCATGACCTTTGACCTGCAGGGGAGGAAACTGTAGAGACAATTACCATCCGCAAATTGGCAGAGGGTCTCGGTGAATCCTGGACGGAGTTGGCGCTGTATCTCATGATGGACGATGTCCAGTGTGAAACCATTCTGGAGGATTTCCTGGAGCCCTGCCAGCAGGCGGAGGAGATGCTAGTCCGTTGGCGGGAAAACTTCACTGGTAAAAACCAGGTTGAGTACTTGGGCCGAGCCTTGGTCATGATGAACCGCTACGATCTTGCGGAAGAACTAGGTAACCTACCGTTTTTCACCCTGCGGAGTCAAATTAAGCAAGTCCCAGTACAATAATGAAAAAATCTATTTGTGTGCCTTGTGGATGTGGATAAATCTATCTCAAAGATTTCCACAGTTGTGATCAAGTCACCAGAAGTAAGTTCTGAGCAAGTCACAAGTTATCCAGTCTTGTACATATCACAATCTGTAATAATATTACTTCTTTTTGAACTTACATGAGTGACGAGATTGCAGCTATCAAACTCAATCGCAGAACTTCACAACTCACAGAAAAAAAAACTTTTACGAAATACCCAGTGAACAAAATCTCAAGAATAACTTCTGAAGAAAGTTCCTTTTCATTGTAATACTATACTTGCAGCTGGGTCGCGGTGCCTTCCAAAGTGCAATTGCGGCAACACAGATCCTTTCAAGATGCGACGATACATAAGCAAAGACTACGAAGGCCTGACTCGGCCTATCGGCCTGTGCTGCGCCTCCTGCGGCCAAGAGTGGCTAGCCGAACGGTTCCTGTTCCCTCCGGACGTAGACAACACCCGCCCATCGGTGAAAGTGGACAAGGTGGTCCTGAAGGAACAGAAACCGGTTGCTGTGGAGAAAAATCCGGTCTTTCAAGTCAGGGATTGCCGCACCAAGATAGAATATATCGATCGTCTCCGTGACTACTTGAAGGTAGGAGACCACATCACTTGGCGCCGCCCTTACGGCATTTGGCACCACGCGATAGTGTTAGGTTTTACTGATGAGATTGGAAAAGTAATCGTCATTCACTGGAATAAACCAAACTGCAGCGTTACCGCGCAGATCGTAGAAGAGGAACTTGACTTACTCAAGCAGTGGGGGGACCTGTATCGTATCGATTACTCTGAAGAGGTAACCCAGGTGAACACGCCAGAGTTGGTTCTTGCTCGGGCTAGATCTCGATTGGGGGAAATTGGGTACAGTCTGCTCGGGGATAACTGCGAGGCATTTGCGTCCTATTGTAAGACCGGCGTTGCAGAGAGCTGCCAGCTTGTCTGGCTGTATCGCAAGTACACAGAAATTATCGAGAAGGCGCTGACTGAATTGAAAGACGGCGTTTGGAAGGTTGGCTATCAGTACGTCCGGAAAGAGTTGCTCTCAGAAGCAGGAAAGAAAACCCTTGGTGCGGTGGCTGGAGCCGAGTTTTTGGAGAGACTTGGCCAAGCAACTGATGTCGTAGGTGTGGGTCTGGTGTTTCTCTTCGAAGGTAAAGCTTGTATCTGGGACCTCGAAAAGATTTATGAAAAGCTGAAGTCAGGTGGCATTTCAAGGAACGATTTTATCGAAACAGCTTCACGGCGCGTAGGCGAAGCAGTTATTGGTGCTGGGTTAGGTTCGGTGATGGGCATAGCTGGGCAAGCTGCAGGGGGTGCTTTGGGTTCCTTTATTCTTCCTGGAATAGGCGGGGCTGTTGGGGCTTTCCTTGGAAGCGTAGTTGGAGGAACCCTAGGCATCATTTTGGGCAAACCTGTGGGTTCTGTCGTTGGACCCCACATTGGCCGTGCCTTCACTTCTTTGATGGGAACAGACGACAGGTCAGTGGAGAGTATTGAAGACCTCCAACCAGGAGACCAGATTGTTCTCTATGGGAACCTGCTTCACCCTAGACACCACGCCATAGTGGTTGATCGGTACCCAGGGCTGGGGAAGGTCCAGGTGGTTCACAACACGTATCAACAAGGCGTGGTTGAAGAGCAAGTAGATTTCCCAGAGCGTGTGTACAGGCTGGTTTACGACGAGCAGAAGTGCTACCCGCCAGAGGAGGTCATCAAGAGGGCCCGATCAAAGATCGGAAACAAGGAGTACAGATACTCTCTGGTCTGGAACAACTGCAAACACTTCGCTCAGTGGTGCAAAGTGAAGTAGCCAACCATATCAGACCCGTCTTATCTATATGCAGGCATTAAAATGCCTGCTTATAACCGAACAGGTTAATTTTGCTGGACACAGTTACCAAGAGGATTTGATCTGAGAAATGGCCTTTTTGTATCGTCATTTTTTTAGAGGCTTTGGGAAGCGATATTATTATCGAAATGGTGTTTGACTAGTAAGATCTACGTCAGTTAAATCGAAAGTAGTTACATAGCAGGCTGATCCCAAGGCAAGTTTTTGTTTGAAACTGAAGTCTATGCCTGATGTAATTGCATGCCCTTCTTTATTGTTGCACAGTGTCGCATTAAGTCCACACTTGCTGAAGGGCTCCCTGCTGCATATGGTACTTAGCAGATGGTATTTCATCAAATGTAGGCAATCAATTTTCAATCTTACAATTTTACAGATTTAACGGAATTTTGCACCGCAGTGGTGAGTAGGGAACACGTAATCTTATTGGTAAATTCTGTTGATGAAGAGAGCTTTATCTGTTGGTATAGGCATACAATCCTATAAGCTCAATGGTGTGAATTTTTTTAATAGTCAATTTCCCTTGCATTTACTAGCATTCTGTCGTTTTCATTGTAATCATATTTTTATATCGTCTGCTATCATTGACCGAGTTTGGCGATCGATAACTTAAATTTGGTTAACTGTATTTCCACTTTAATTGAACTTGCACTCGTTGATTATGATTGGAGTGGTCTGAAGTCAGTTGTTTTGGAAAAGCCAGCTTAGGCATCGCTTTTTTATTATTCACATGCAACTATATTTACTTGTGCTCTAGTTCTCCAGCACAGCCTGGGATGTGTTATTGTTACAAGCCAGAGAAATATTTCGAGGTGGAAAGCATGTATGTATGTGTAAATGTTTCTAAACTTTTGGCCAAAAAAGAGAAAATAGATATGACTTATATAAGTTGATTTTATGTACCTTTAGTTATCTGTAAGAGTTTTGATAAACTGATTTAAGGCTATTGGAGAAACGGAGGTATGAATTTTAAAAGGGCTTACTTCGCTCTATTTTGATTACATGCATGACATCTTGTCACAGTTCACAATTACATGTTTGTCCAGCTTATTGTAATGAGCCGGAAAGTTACTTGGAGAAGAGGAACAAAATAATGTTTCAGGATTTTTTGAAAAAAAGAAAGATTTTTGACTCATTAATTTTACATACAGTTATCTGTAATACGTTTGATGAACTGATTTAAAGCAAATGGATCAACTAAGCTACAAATTTAGAAAGAGGGCTTGTTTTGCTTTTTTGTTATTATTTTCGTGACATCTAGTCAGTTTGAGGTCTACCCTTTCGCACACTCACTACAAAACGTAAAATTCTTTGTCAGGCATTTTGCTATTTCAATAGCAACATCACGCTTATAGTATCAGTTCGTACAATTCATTTCATCAACACATTATAACTTCCAGAGGCCAGACTTGGGTCAAATTCTAAGAGGGCATCCAAGGTTGAACACAATTGTGACGGAGGTACTGAATGAAGACTGACTGTGGCTGCAAACTTAGGCTCTTTACAAAGGTGGCGTATATTTTGACATTTCAAAATGAGGCACGAAATACACGGGCCAAAGGCGTCATTCTGCTCAGCTAAACAAACCCTCTCACCGTAGTTATACGCGCTACTGGTAACCTTGAATATCTGTTGGAAGTACATATAGTCTGTTATGTGTATAAATAATGGAAGCCCTGTGACTAACAATAGTTTAGTTTCTGTTTTGTATGCACAAAGATAAGATATGGCAGAATATGTTTTTTGTTTTTCCACTTGCTTAAATTCGTAGACATGTAAGTGATCCATCGTCAGAATTTTGAACCACCAAGATCGACCTGTTCAAGGCAGGTTCAGTGACCATGGCTTATTATAAACGCGTTCAGACTCTGTCTTTCGAAAGGATCCATGATTGTATTGCATTATGAATGGAATAATCCGGCGTGAAGTTTTGGAAGCCCAGTGGAGGGGCGGATCCACAGGAGTTTTTTGTCGGGACAAGACTTACAACATGCTGTTGTTGATAGTGGACCTCTCTTGGTTTTGTCCTTGCCCGTACATGTAAAAAGAGCCTTCTTTAGGCTGGTGGGGGTCTTCAAGCTTTCAAATGATGTTTAGCCCCTAAACCCCCTCCCCCCCAAAAAAAACCCCCCAAAAACAAACAAAAACAAAAAACAAAGAAAATTGGTATGAGCAGGGCCGGGGAAAGTTTGACCCCCACCCCCTCTACATCCGCGCCGGCAACGTGTGTGGTTTCACTCCAAGAATGACGTCTCCTCACATTACTCTTATCCATTCTAAAGCACGGTGTGATAAAGATTAATGAACTTCTTGTGACAGTTGGATGGTTTTTGTTTACTTCAGAGTAAGACCTGCTTTATTTTGAAAATGCTATTAAAATGGTTTTGAAAACTTGACTTTGGGTTCCCTAGCTCTTACCTTACCATTAGAGTGGAATCGCCCTTATCGTGGCAGCATGCTTTCAGAAGACCACAGCAAATCCGGTAGTGGAGGGATGCCATGCTTTGGTTTTTGTGCCACGAACAAATTGTAAATGCTGTTGTGGAACATATTAAGCAAAATTGGAAAACCTATTCGGCAGTAAATGCAAAACTTCACAACCATGTTCTTTTCTGGGAGGAGTGATCAAGCAGCCTGTGTGTTTACCTTTGTATGACGCTTGACTGTTGAGATCGATTCTTGCAAACACACAACACTAAGTTGGATCTGTGATTTCTTTTGGGGGATGGGTTGTTGTGGGGGGTCAACTGAGGCCATATCTTTGTTTGTCCTTTATCGTACACACAAAATAAGATCCCTTCATTATGTATGCCTTTTGGGGGTCTTCTGGTATTAAGACGTAGGCATGGGTATAATTAATCTAGGCGTGATATGCAGGGCAGAAGTCCACTCACCAAACCCGCTGGAAAATGGAAAGAAAGTCAAGTTAAATTTTAAGAGACCATTACAATAATTTAACCTTTATAGAAGCATCAGTGTTCGTTTATTAATTGATGAATCCGTAGAATGTTTAAGACAACAGTGGTAGATTGAAAAATAAGCCAACTAGAATTTAGTATTACAATTTTATTGAAGATATATTTTGAGTGGTAAATAAAAAATACGGCCATTGTCTACAATATGAGGTGCCCTGTGTAAATCAATTGTCTCAGACAATGATTGTTGAATATTCGTTTTAGATAATGACATTTGTAGTAATTAAAACATTTTAAAATATTTTTTAAATGCTATCTCATTATTTTCAAAACAATATTGTTGGCATCTACATTACTTACAAATAATTTCGACACAAGTATTTATGTGCAATCTACAAACATGTTAACATTTTCGTTCAAAGTTCGAACCAATTGCTATTATATGTAAACATATTTCTAGCCAAGACTTTTTGATTTTGTTCTAAAGTTTGTTTTCAGGACAAATATATATATTTTTTAATTTTGTTTTTACAACAACATTTTTTTTCTCAAAATTGGTTTAAACGAGATGCATTTTTTCTGGTCCCAGACTGAGTTACCTCCGTGTCCTTGGCCCAATTTGTTTTGTTATACGGCTCACTCACCCCATCTGGTCAGTGGTCTATCAATATAGGAGATTTTCAATTGTTTCTGTCCGTGAAATCTTGGTTACCCCGACATAGCCATTTGTTTACAACAGTTATTCATTTGCAATACGAACACAGTCTGGGTCTTTTCGCTTGGGAAACCAGAATGCATTCAAGGCGGTGATCGAAACTGCTGCAGACTGGCCCCAATCTAGGACTAGAAAATAGATCTCGTTGAAATAAATTTAAAAAATATATATATTTGTGAAAACTTGGGAAATATCTAGTAAAAACAAACTTTGATAAAAGTGGATCCCGTTAAACAAACCCTGGGAAAAAATATGATCTCGTAAAACCAAACTTTGAAAATATATCTCGTAGAAAAAAAGTTGGAAGAAGTTCTCTTAAAGTCTCTCGTAAAAATACATTTGAAAAAACACACTTAATTTTCTCCCCAAATATACTTGATTACGTTTAAGGACTTTCGTAAGCAATGGTTTGTAAAATCAGCATTTATTAACAAATACCATTGCCTGTGTAAATTATTTACGAAGACTAATCTGTCATCACTTTCATTTGTACGCATACAGTTATTATAATGTTATGGTTTGATGTTAACAAGTTTTCGAAACAGAATGTAAGAAATCAAACTTTATAAATCAAACCATTTTGCTTTATCTCAGGTGCAACGTGCCCCTCAGATGTTAGGCATCACACCAGCCAAAAACTGTTGACTGATATTACGTGGTATAACAATGAACAGGGTTTAGAAAAGTGCTACATGTACATGTACGTAACAGCACGATAAGGAAAAGAAAATACCATACTACATGCGGTAGAATGCACTACACTCACAGTTTCACAAGCTCCTGAATTTGTAGTCATGCGATTAGTTGGGTCTGAACTCTAATATTCACAAAGTCTTACAAGTAAAGTGAACGTAGCAGCAAATAACTGGTGTCATAAAATTCGAGGGGAACGAGTTTTTGTTTCTTATACCCATTATCAAGTGCACAAAGAGAGATTTAACAGAAAGGAAAACTAAAATGTAATGCAATAAGAGCTTTTAAATGAAACAGAGAACACCATGAAGTCATAACGGAAGGGAAGAGGTACTAATTATGGTCTAAGCTCTACAGGAAAGGTTACGTTTACATTTACTATTTTTACACGTGAAGATGAGACGTTTTAAATGTTTACAGTTTCTTCTGGGGTGTCATTTAGGGAGTGCTTTTCTAAAATTTTCTAAAGGGTATATGTAAAAGGGACACTACATGTAGCTTTCATGTGTACTGTGTGAACACACTTATTTCCTTAGTTCTATTTTTCTTATATCTTTTGGAGGTTTTATGATTTTGTATACTTAACTGTAATTGTAATGAATTCTTACTGTAGTTTTTATGTAACTTTGCAAATGCGCCTTCGAATATTCCCTGAAGGAGAGCGCGCACAAGAAATGTAACAAATTATTAGTATTATTAATGATCTGAGTAAAACGTGACCAGTTTAGCTAACGTAGTCCGCAGACAAAAGTATCATACTGGAATCTACTTCTAAAATTTTGTCATGTAACAAAAGCTAAGGAGAGGCAACATGGAAAGTAACGTACTCCCCTGGGTTTATGGGATTTGTTCATATTTTGTTTCTTATTTTGGTTTCAGCATAATTGTAACACTCTTCTTCGGATACACGTTTTCCACGTGGCATTGCTTGACGGGCAAAGGCAAGTTCAGAAAAACGTTTGAAGTCCGCGGTAGCGCATGCAGAATTTGATTATGCGCCTTTCCATTGGCAGTTTCATGTACGCTGGCGTGATTAGAGGCTTTGAAGGCCCGTGCATGTCCGCGAAAGTCTGTGTAAATGGAACGCTTACCGTCAAAAATCACAGGACTGAAAAACCTGAGTAGATCAATGAAAAGGTGAAACTGGTTCTACCAAGGCCAACATTAATTTAACGTATTATTAATGAGCACACGAACTGTGACGATCACGTGTAATGTTCTCGTAGCCCCATGACAGACAAAACGTAGTTAAAATCGTGCAAAATCCAGTTCAAAGATTTTAATGTGTCTCTACTGCATTCAGATGCCGACTGACTGGATAAAAACCGGTAACATGTCGGAGTTTGCACCACTGAGCAAACTCGCTCCCGTCCTGTCTTGTCAGACGAAACTCCTTATTGATCTGCGACCGGGCTCTCGCCACGACGTCGTATGGAGAACGACACTCTTTGGAATCGTACACAACTTTTTTGACCGGACCACTCAAATGCATTTCCTCCTTCACTACCATTCCTGCCCTGTGGTACACCAATTCTATTTTCCCGTCCGATGGATTCACGGCTACAACTATTGCATGTTGGTTGGACTGCTTCTGGGTGCTGAAATACATGATCTGGTCACCCGGTGACAGGGCACTGATTGCCCTTACTATCCTGTTATCGTATCTAATACTTAAAGTCACTGCCTTTTTAACTAGTTTGTTCAGCAACCATCCCGACACAGAACCGACACAGCGCCCGATGAAAGCCCCCAGAGACCCACCGATTACGCTCCCCAAGACCGGCACGCCAAAATGGGTACCAATGGTGGTCCCAACGAACTTCCCGGCAACACCACCCGCAATGGCACACCCAGTTTTATTCAGCGCCTTTAGTACTGTTATTGTGGTCGCCAGAACAAATTCCTTATAGGTCACGTTCCCGTCCTTTCTCTGTTGCCAGAGCTTTCCAATGTCCCACACACAGGTCATACCCTTAATGACGAGGACGACCCCAGTTTCTACCCCTTCGCAAATGTCAGATAACATTTGACCGTCGTCAGACTGACCCTCTAGTTCACCCAGTACCTCCTTAACCCCACCTATCGCATCTTTGAACCTACCCAGTCCCGAAAGCACTTTATTAATGACCTTTCTGCACTTTTGAAAACACCCTGCCTCCTGACGCTTTTCTGCAACAGCTGACTCGCTAGGAGGGACGTCACCTGATGCGTTGGAGGTTGGCGGACGGTCAGAAGTCATGTACCCTATAGACATGAAAACAAATAAGACAATGATGCCGACTGCCATCCAGAGTTAAATCCTCCAATTCCGGGTTCAAGTCTGACTGCAAGTCTTGCAAATGCAAGTCTAAGAGCCAAGTTTGGGTCCTATCAACAAACTGAATGTTTTATATATTGAAAAATGGAATGAACAATAAATGAGCATGAAATGAGTACACATAATTCAGAAATCGTTAGCCATTTATCATCATCAGTACTTCAAAGAGAAAAAAAAAACAGAAAGAGAACTGACATTTGAAAGTAGTCCTGCAGAAATATTCTCAGCATTTTATCATTGGAGAATCATGACACCATGAAAGGTACGAAAAGTAGAAAAAATAATATAAAATAACAATGCTGGAGTATGAACCACATTTCTTGAAGTAAGAATAATTTAGGAAAGATTTCTTTGATTGGGAAAGAAACAAAGGTACCTATGAAGTTGCATGTATTTGCCAGTTTACCTGCTCTTTATACGGTGAGAGCAAAACCATTCGTTTGTTGGGTGCACCCTTGTCGGACTCAAGTTCTGGTCTTGAAGCCAATCCTATAATGCTCAATTGTTTACTTGATTCCAAAAAGAAGCATTTTTCCTCAGGTTGTCGAACATGTGTTCACACAGTACAGTCCCCTACATTACCGTGTGTCGAACATAAAGTACGGTCCTCTGCCTCACCGTGAATCAACCAATGGAAGCTATGCTACGTTTCAATTGAAGCAATATCCGCTGACGAAGTTGCATTACAAGAGGTTTACAATGCACTAACGACACAATATCACTAAAGGGAGACTGCTTTCCCCCTTTTGTATTTCTTGAAACCGACTGATTTCCTCACACTTACACCGATGTACAGTTCGGAAGAATCAGCAAGTGTTTCAACCTTGTAACTCTAGAAAAGCGAACCGCATATGGCGAGTTTTAAATGGTTATAATGGAAACTTCACTTATTATCGAGGGCCCAAGGAAATTTTTTTCACACATACGCCTAGCTAGAAACGTTGAAAATAATTTAACAAAAACTACCTTGTGTAAATGCAGAGTCATCAGAACAGGGTCTGTTGAGGACTTGTTCTTCACGAGAATTCGAAGACAATCTACTGGATGCTCTCACGTTCGACGACAAAATAGTACGAAATTCGGTGCTCCTTGAAGGCGCCATTTGTCTATATTTGCGATGGGACGCAGTGGGAGCAGTGGTTAAGGGACGCGTCTGTGGTGGCCTTGGCACTGCACACGAAGAAGGACGTCGTTTAATAGAAGGGTCAATAATAGGATTTTTAAGTAGCAACACTTTAAAAAAAAGTTCTGTTTAGGTTGAGGCTAAGTGTAGTACTAATCTGACGTGACAGAGGTAATCCTTAGTGAGGAGTCTGCATGTGTTATTCGTCGCACGAACAAGAAAATATGTATTCTTTATCCACATAATTAGAAACCTAAAAAATGAGTTTTAAATTTTCACATTTGTTCCCACATTTGTTAAGAATCATCGAAATATTCGATTTTCTGAGAAAAGATACGTTGCTGTGGAAAAATCCATTTTCTCAACTTGTCACTTTAAGAGGATAGAACCGAAGGATGTTGGGGACCTACCTGGTGTAAATGCAGTGTCCTTAGAAGTGGTACCGTTGGGGAATCGCCTCTCAAGGAAAACCGTCGACGACCTTTCGGGTGCACCGTCCAGCAACGAGACATCAGAGGGATACTCTGCGCTCCGTGACGGCACCGTTTCTCTAATTGTCCGATGAGATGCTGCAAGAGCGTTACTCGGCGCAGGTTTTCTGAGAGGTGGTACTGCACATTATGAAGAACGGTTTGCACCGAAGCAGGAAGTTTAAAAACAATTTTAGACACTGATTTACAGAAGCAATTTCTTTAAAATGGAAGAAAATTATATTCTCTTACGAAATACCCTGATTCGCACCTTTCTCCAAAAAAAAAAAAAAAAAACCTGTCTCTCACCTCTCAAGAAAGAAAATCTCACACGATGAGAGTTTGATTCCGAAAAAAAATTGTAAGAAGTAGATTCGTAAACAAGCATCATGACCCTCCTCATTGTTTGGGGGCCATCCAGGAAAAGGATAAAGGTGTTTAACTATTTCAAAACACTTGTTTATTTACAGTGAGGTGTTCTTGTCGAGGTTTGTGGCCTCTCTTTCGAGTAGCATCCACGTGGATTACTATCGCTCTGCCTAACTGCTTCATCTGTCCAAAACATTTCTTGTGTTGGTGCTACGTGCATTAGAAAAACAAACAGACAAACAAACACATTACCACAGAGATACTTTGCTGGGATTCGTCCTTCAACTGCAATTCAAAGGCCCTATTATTTATTGTAAAAGGAAACGTTTGACCATGCGTGTGCTGAAGAGTAGCATATTGCCCTCAATTTTGACAGAATTTTTGTGAGCTCGTGTGTATGAACATTCAATACCTTCTGTTCGTGCGGAGTTTGTAAGTTAATGTTCGAACATTTGAATTCATAAACTCATCCTACCAATCAGTCGGGAAAGGTCCGGACGGCCTGCGAGGGTCAGAGCGGCACTCAGGTACTGGACTGGATTGTCCCCTTCAAAGTTGGCCCTCCAGATCCTCATCAAACTCCTCCCTGGCAGCTCGTAGGGTACCCTGTACTGGATCGAACGAATTTCCCGATAATCGAAGCCCAGGAAACGAGCTAGGTCCTGCCAAGAGTGACCCAGGGATGTTCCTATTTCCTCCAGGACCTCTGGATCAAGATCTTCCACATCTGTTGGCATTCAAGTAAATTAGTAAAATCTTTTTTTATCAAACTGGGATTACATAATAGGAAAAACTTCTCTGTAGACATCGATAACAACCTTCTCCCCCCAAAACCCCCCAATTTTACCATAAAATGTAATATTTACGGATGTCCAAGTACCAATGGACGATCACTTATTTTACCTCTTGCAAACGGATTTTGTTTGGGCAGTTGGTAATGGTTTTATCGTCTTGCATGTATGCCTTAAACCAAGAAATAAAAAAGATGAATTTGTAATCGCAACTCCTAAAAGTATTCATTGGATGTCTGAACGACATATCACTTCAAGTTCTTCCTTCAAAGTCTGCAAGATTTCACGATGTCCTTCAGACGTGCTTCGAGTCCACACCACCCTTCTTTATGGAATATTACTAAAAAATTCAGCTGTACAGTGTTTTAATCTCGGCTTTAGCAGTACTTATACATTTAATACGAAACAAGCAACGCCTGGAATTAGGAATCCTTGATTTGGGGTTTTCATTTTTTATCATAATTACATTATACTGGAGTCTACTCACCCAGCTCACCAAGAAGGTCATATCTGCGGATCCGTTTAAGCGCCCAAACCAGGACGGTTCTCATGTCGTGTTTGTCGTAAAACTCCCGCCATTTAAATAGCATGTCTCGACTATTTTCAATCCTTGCATAGACCTCCCAGTCGAAACCCAGATACACGGCTAGATCTTGCCAATCTTTCCTACTATCGAGGGCTCTGGCCAACTTTCTAAGACACTCGTCATCCACTACCTCGGCACCTGTGATTGAAAAAAGTCAACACTTGAGCATTGGCATGTCACAGAATTAACGATTTTGAGTTTATGATTTTTGCGCCGGGGCCTAAATAACAGAACAATGAATGCCATGCTTTGATAAAATTGCTGTTAGGCTACAAAATACTTAGAACAAAAGGACTAAGAATGTTTTTTAAAAGAACATAACAGTTCACAAAAGTAAAAATACTGAAGGTAAAACCACTCTCAAGGAATTTCAATAGCTTCACAGGCAGAATGCAAGTATTTATTGTTGAAAAGAGTAGTGGAACGCCTCAGGACTGAAGAAGTGTGTTTCTTACCTAGTTTTTCAAGCAGATCGTATCGATCTATTTTCTTCAAGGCCACCGTCACGTCGCCCATGTCGCCCCCAGCAGAGCGCAGCCTCCAGTTGAATAACATGTGCCGGGCTTGGTCGTGCACTTGCACTGAGTAACCCTCGATGATGGACACACACTCGCTCCAGTCGAAGCCGAGCTGGAGGGCAAGATCTGGCCAGTCATCCTCCAGCGCGTCTGCTAGAGTGTTCAGAGACTTGTCATCTATCCTGATTTCTTGATGGAAGAAAAAATGCGGTCACTGAGAAAATGAGGTTCCTCTACGGTTCCACTCTTCCTGGATCTAGCAAAACGAACCCTATCATCAGAAACTGAAAGTCATTATTCCGTGTAAAATACACCTAAGGCGTGGGTGTAAACATTTGCAAAACTCTGCCTCACCCCCTGGAAAGACTAAAAATGTAACATGTAGAAATTCCCCTAATGTTTTGAACAATTGAAAATATTGTTCCCTCAAAACGTGTTCCTGGTGCTCCCTTGCAGCAATGTACCGTAGCGTTCACTGCACTTTAAAAATAGGACCATGAATGCTACGCGCAAAGCAGCGCCTTGTTGCTTCCTTCACACTCCCTGAGTCCATCTACTCCGGCGTCGAATTCCATGTGCACCCTTGATTGAATACTTCCGAATCGGGCTTTCAGTTCCAACTTGGTAGTCAAGTTCTCACTGGACCTTTAATAGGCTTTCAAATACCTAGCAAGATATGGGACGGGAAGGGGTACCCTCCTACATGTCCAACCCCTGTACACACCCTAAAGTATTAATTGTTACCTGACACATCCCCCTCAAGTAAGATCAAACAATGTGTGGGGGAAGTGTGCTCTCTGTCCAACATCTTGCTCATATGAATGCCGGCTTTTCTCCCACGTTCATAACTGTATATATCTGTACTTCTCTCCCAAAGTTTCTTTGCACTCCGGGGTAATACAGCACCGCCTGAGACATCTTAAACATACGAATTGCGCACTATAAAATAAACTGCTAATATATAGGATTTGCTCCTTTTACATCGCAGCTGCGTTTTTCCTTCAAATGACAGCCTATCATTAAAAGTAAGAATAGTTTGCGAAGCCTTACAAACCCCACCCAGCAAGCAAAAACACCGGATAGCAATACACATACCACTGGAAATCAATCACTCTTTTAACGCGCAGGACGAATGTAAATTATAAGCAAAAATAGGGTAAAAGTGAAAAACCACTCAAACGGAGATTTTCTGCTAACTTTGGCTTCCCATACAACTTGTAGGTAAAATGACAGGGATTATTAGCTTACTATGAGACATTTTGGGGTGACTCGTCCAATTCACACATGATTACGTTGTCGCCATCCCATTCATCACCATCGTCGCACCTTTCAGAGTGTAAAAAGCAATAGCTTTATTTGTAAAATAAAAACCCAACCCTTTTTGTTTAGTGTGAAATGCCGTTTGCCTCTAGACAGCCTGGCGTAGCCACGGGGGGGGGGGGGGGGGGCTTAGGGCAAGTGCCCCCCGCAAATCCCGGGGCCCCCGGGTTCCCCCG